AGTTACTCATTCTTTCTCGAAACATTTTTTTTACTTGATTTCTGGAACACTATCTCTCTTGGTTTACCTCCTATCTCGCTGATCATGCCTTCTCATTCTCCTTTCCTGATTCTTCATCTTCCTGACCTCTGAACTTTGGTGTGTCCCTGGACTCAGACTTCAGACATCTTGATTCTATCTGCACACCATCTATGTGCTGAAGATCTCCAAATGTACACCATCATCCCAGACTCATCTGACCAATTGCCTTTGTGGCAATTTGACAATTCCAAACTTAAAGTGTCCAAAATAGAACTCTTACTCCCCAACAATCCTTCCCTCCCCCACCATCCCCACCTTATTTCTCAGGTATTCTTCCCCATCTCAGCACAAGATTCTTTCCTTCTAGTTGCTCTGAGTAAAAACAGTTTTAAAAAATTAAAAAAAAATTTTTTTGGTTTTATTAAAGGCAGTGTTATTTTTTTGTAGAGATGGGGTCTTGATATGTTGCCCAGGCTGATCTTGAACTCCTGGCCTCAAGCACTCTTCCTGCCTCAGCCTCCCATAGTGCTGAGATTATAGAAGTGAGCCATCATGCCCAACCTGCTCTGAGTAAAACCTCGACTTACCTTTGGCTCCTCTTTCTCTCTCATGCCTATATCCAATTAATCAGCAAGTCCTGTCAGCCTCTCCTTGGGAACATATCCAGAACCTGACCACTTCTCACCAGCTTTACTGCTATGGCTTTGTATTAGTCAGGGCTAGCCAGAGAAATAGAATAAATAGTATATATGCATATATTAATAGACAGGTAGATATCTGTCTCTATATAAAGAGATCAAATATATATATTGTAAGGAATTGGCTCATACAATTACAGAGGCTGAGAAGCCCCAAGGTCAGTGGACAGCAAGCTGGAGACCCAGAAGAGCTGATGGCCTAGTTCTAGTTTGAGTCTGAAGCCTGAGAAGCAGAAGAGCCAATGGTGTCTGAGTCCAGTCTCAGTCCAAGGTCAAAGGCAGGAGAAGACTAATGCTTCATTTCAAAGACAGTCAAGCAGAGATAGCTTACCTACTCAGCCTTTTTGTTCCATTCAGGCCTCCAGTGAATGATCACACCCCTCTCCCCCAATCAGGAAGGGCTATCTGCTTTACTCGGTCTACCCATTTAAATGTTAATCTCATCAGGAAATACCCTCACAGACACACCAAAAATAACGTTTAACCGAATATCTGGGCAGCTCATGACCCAGTCAAGTTGACACAACTAATTAATCATCACAGCTTCCTAACTTGTTGATCTGCTTTTATCTTTGTCCCTTAATCTATCCTCAACATAACTGGATTTTTTTAAAAAGCCTCATTATTTAGCTCCTCTGCTAAAAATTCTTCAACCTTCTCATCTCAATGTGAAATTAACATTGGACTATCATGACCACCAAGGCCCTACATGCTGTGTTCCCTCTCCTAACCCCACTGCTGTCACTCTTCCCCCACTCTTTCTGTTCTGCCCGCAGTGACGTTTCTCCAAGAAGCCAAGCATGCTTCTGCCTCAGGGTCTTTACATCTGCAGATCCCTAGGCTTGAAATGGTCGTATTCCAAATATCCACCTACTCTCCTCCCTCAATAACTTTCTTATCTAGAGCCTTACAATAAACCCATTTTTAAAAATACAGCACCCATCCCTCTTATTTTACTTTCTTAAAAAATTAACTGTGTTCTTTTAGAACAGTTTTAGATTTGCAGAAAAATTGCTAAGGTAGTACAGAGAATTCCCATAAATTCCATTCCCAGGTTTCTCTATTGTACCATCTTACATTAGTGTGGTACACTCATCACAACTAATAAAACAATCTTGGTACTTATTAATAATGAAAGTCCATGCTTTATTTGAATTTCCTTAGTTTTTACCTAATGTCCTTTTTCTATCCCACAATCCCATCCAAGATACACCTTACATTTCGTTTTCATGTGGCAGTTCTAGGCTGTGACAGTTTTTCGGACTTTCCTTGTTTTTGATGACCTTGACAGCTTTGAGAAATACTGGTCAGGTATGTCCCACTATTGAAATTTGTTTGATATTTTTCTCAAGATAACTGGGGTTATGAGTTTTGGGGAGGAAGACCACAGAGGTAACATTGCCGTTTTCCTCACATCATATCAAGCGTATATGTCACCAATAGGATTCATGACTGTCATGTTGACCTTGAGCACCTGGCTGAGGTATTGTCTGTTTATAAAGCTACTCTTTCTCCCTCCTTTCCATATTGTACTTTTCTGAAAGAAGTCACTATGCATAGTCCACGCTTAAAGAGCAAAGAGTTATTCTTCTCTTTCTTGAGGGTGGAGTATCTACATAAATTATTTGAAATTCTTCTGCACAGGAGATTTGTCTCTTTCTCCCATTTATTTATTTATTTATTGAATCATTCATTTATATCAGTATGGATTCATGGCTATTTTTGGCTTTGGGTTGCAATCCGACACTATTTTATTTTCTTTGTATTTGTTTGAATTGTTCCAGCTTTGGCCACTGGGAGCTTTTTCAGTTGGTTCCTGTGTTTTTGACATTGCCCCATCAATACAGGATTTGTATTTTTCTTTTTTCTTTTTCTTTTTTGAGCACTTCCTTTTAAGCCTCAGCCTTGTTTTTGAAGGTACTTTGCCACCACCTCGCACGATGCGCACCTTCTCTGTTTCTCTCTCCCCACTGAAATGCCAGGGCGTCGAGAGCAGGGTCTTGGCCACAGTATTTTTGCCCACAGTATTCTCAGCACTGAAGCAGACGCTGAACTGGTGTTCAGTGAATGAATGAACCGGGCAGGTGCTGAGGCTGATTCGAGGGCTGAGTCCAGGTGGGTGCTGGGAAGGCGGTGCCGAGTCTCAGGGTGACCCGCTGCCTCCTTGCTCGGCGCCTCGCGGGTCGCCGCTGGAGCAGGACCGGCCGCGGCCTCTCGCAGCCACACCCACGCTCAGAAACGGCTTCGAGCGTCTTGCCGCGGAAACGCACCGGACTGCAAATGTCACCAGCGCTGCGGGGATTCCCGGGGAAAGTCCGGCGCGCTCTTGCGCGGGGACCACAGGATGAACGGAAGAAGTGCCCCGTGCGGCAGACACCCCACTAACCCGGCCTGTGGGGGCGCGCGGGACAGGCTAAAGCGTGGCCCGGTTCCGGGCAGTCGGGAGCGCTCTGACTCCTCGCTGGGCGGGAAGCAGCGCACGGGGAGCCTGCGGCCGCCGCGCCCCAGCGCTGTCACCCCGGGGCGGGGCCTGGTCCCCAGCTGCGATCGCTTCCGAAGCGGCGGGGGTTGGGCCGGCGGCGCCCAGATGCGGCGGCGCGGAGCTCGGGCGGCCGTGGGAGCCGCCGGGAGTCGCGCGACAAGTGTCCGTCCCCATCGCGGCGCCAGCGCGGGACCGGCGCCGGGGCAGGAGAGGGGCTCCTCGGTTCGTACGCTCGCTCCGGGTGCTGGTTCGTTTTCTCTCCTCGGGTCCTCTTTTATCCTCCCCACTCCTCCCAGAGCAGGGACGCGCCCCGCTGCGCTGTGCGGGACGGGGGTCAGGGGGACCTGCGGGGACGTGCCCCGGGAGGGACGCTCGCTCGCTCGGGGACCGACGGCCGTGCCTTAGGTGGGGGTTCCGGTCTGGCCCAGGTCCTCACGCAGTCTCTGGGCACCTTGGGGAGCGCAGCATTGGGGTTCTCTTACAGAGCGGAATGGTTCATTATCTTTAATTTCAGAGGGCGAGGGACTGAGGATTGAGTGTTTCATAGGACTCATTTCAGAGACACCTGTTGATAGGCTGCCATTCTAAAGTATCCACCTGAGACAGCTTTTGTTTTACGACGAAAGGCTGAAGTGCTGTTTTAATGAGTGGGGACGCTGTCGCTGTTTGATCACCTCTCCACTTCCTATTAGGGTGCACTTTCTCAAAACCATCAGTATGGGTACTTCTTGACTTGAACCCGCATGTGACTCAGAAGCCGGGGTAGAAGCCAGGCCATCCGGAGAAACTGACGCCGCCTTGAAACAGTTCCTTCCAAGTGCACACAAGACTTTGTTTCGGGAGAACGGGGACCAGAAGCGGTGGCACTGCCCAGGAGAACCACACAGTCCCGAGGGGGAGTGCTCTCTTTTTCTAGACTGTGCTGACACCAGCTGGGATCTGTATTACTTCCTGTGGTTCTCACGCACTTGTTCAAGACGTTTCTCAGCAGAGGGAGGAGTTGTTATTTCCACACGGGTATCCAAAAATGAGTCACAGAGCTGTTCTCTTAATTGTGAGACTTTGTTAATGAACTTTTGAGATGTGAAGTTTGCTCTGTCTCTTTTTAAAATAAGACTCTAGATGTGAAATGCCAGCCTGCTAAACTGGGGCGAGTGGTGTGGGAAGTAACGATTCAAGTTTTCAGTTTCCTAAAGCGCCTGATGGTACAACATACCAGCCAGGGTCACTGGGCTGATCTAAGATAAACATTAAAATCATGTGCTTTGCCACAGAGGCCCAAGAGAAAATTAATTTCATTATCAATAACCATTTTTGCTATTATTTTCACCGTATGGTAAAAATATGTCATTTTATGTAGTGATTAGAAGTCAGTCTGAAATCCAAATATTGGGCGCAGTTTGTCTTCACTAAATTAGTGCTAAAACCACATGAAAATTTTGAAGCAGGTGGTGCTAGTGGGAGTGGAGAAATTAAAATGTTGAAGCTGACAGATCCCGTGGCAGTAGGTAGCAGCCCTTAGGAAGAGACTGTACTCTATCTCAACACGCAGCTGGGATGGGAGCAACGTCTCTGTCGGAGCTGAGTTGAGCTGAGTTCAGCCCCAGCCAACGTTACTAGGCACCTTTTCTGTGCCAGCCTCTTCCCATAGCTCTAGTTATACAACTGTGAGTCCTGCCGACAAGGGCCTTAAAGACTAGTGGGGAAGGCCGGCAAATCCACTAATAATGAGATGGATGCTAGGATAACTCTATGCCCAGAGTGAGGTTTCTGACCCAATGTGACTGATGTTTCTGCAGATATGGGATTTGGAATGGACCGATAGATCATTGCTGGAAGAAGAGGAAGGTCTTGAGTTTAGTCATCTACTCATCTTTGTAGGAAGCCTATTCTTTATTCAATAGGTGAGTTTAAAATATGTTAATTAGAAAGGCATG